AAAAAGGAGAAGAAAACGTCGTATTTTGGAGTACAAAATTCTTTCCCACAGCTGTCGAAATAAATACAAATTTTGTTTACATACAACTTTTGTTTTACATAGAAACTCGTATTTATATTTAAAATATTTAAGTCAACTGAACACTGAAACCTATATCAAATGGATGCTGTTGTTGAATTTTGTTGCTGTATCGATTTTTTTTGGGATCAGTACCAACATCATTATCTGTTAAATATAACAAATTTCTGTGTACCAAACCAATTTTTATTCAGTGTGTTAATTTTATATTTTTAACATTGAAGCGATCGCCTGCAGTTATGCATTTGAAAGACCGATAAAAGGTATTTTTCCAACCAGACAGCCCACATTTAATAAACTGCAGGAAGACATATCATGTACCTAAACCATCCTCTTGGTATGATTGATTTGACTGAAATAACTACAACCGCCTTTGGGCTCCACTCATTGATTAAACTTTGAGTCGAGGCCGTAAATTTAAATCTAACTGTATATATCTATCTATGACATGGACATTTTTACTGCTTACACCTGTTAAATATCTGCTGGCTGCATTGACCGGAAATATTCATATCTGTTTCCAATTCTATCTTAAGCTGGATCTACCAGGACTAATGAAGAAAAGTGCGTCGAGCGGATGGAATATATGCGACTTTATCTTCGTTATTAATAGTTGGAGTTCGGCAGAAAGCTTCTTTGAGGGTGGCTTGGATTTAGCTAAGGATAATGTTTTTTCGGCGTAGCGTTGGTTTTTTTTAGCAGTTTAGAGGAAAATTAAGTTATGAACACTTACTCTTACAGCCACTGAAGCTTGTATGTGTATGGTTAACTTTTTAGCCAGCTTTCCTTAATCATTCCTTGGTGTCGAAAATTTTCATTTTGAGATCGATTCAATTTAATTTTTTCATCAACTTTTTTTGCTTATTATTTGTTAAGCGTATGGAACACTTCAGGAGAGTGCGATTGAAAGTTGGCTGCCAATGCTTGTAAACTAATTAAAACAATTAGCAAACTAAGAGAAACCGGCTGTAATGAATAATTAATTTGTCTATGGGGTCTTTGAGTATCTAATTAGGTACGACAGGCAAGCCTGAGGGTTGTAGGCTGTAATTATAAAACAGCTTAATATTGTGCAAATCTCATACAGCGCAAAAGTTACCTTGTATGTTTAAGCAAATAATTGCTACTGTAAGAATGACTGCATTTGATAGGGTTTTCTTGACCTAAGTAGATTGAAAATCAAACATACGTTAGGTTTTAAGACCCTTATGCTTCTTAAAGCGTTTTCTACGTCACGTGGGATTGAAAAAATCAGGCTGTTTCTCCATGGCGTGAGTCTTGGAGAGGAACTCTGGAGAGTATTATCTGATGGCATTGGATCATGTTGCTAATTTGCTTGTGTCCGATCCTCGTATTTGTCGCATTCTATCTAATTTTAATGCAAAACAGTTTTGAGCAACAGCGTGAATTGGTGTTGGTCGCCCACAGTAGTTGGCGCGACCCACGGTCCCAGAGATGTCTGCAAGACTTACAACCAGATAACACGAAGGAAGCTTAATGAAGACTTAAAGTACCATATCAGTTTTTTTTTCATGTTTGTGTACGCCCACAAACGGCATACGATAATGAAATTTACATATTGGTATCGCTGTGGTGCCTGGTTATTAGTATCCTTAAAATTATTAGCACTTTCGGAACGCCCAAAACATTAAAACTGTTTGTAGCTGGAGGATTATGTGGCAGTTTTTTTATTTGGTGGCCAATTATTTGCCAACTCAATGCATAAGTAAGCAGGGTCAAGATAATTTGTGCAAAAAATTGCTTGTATTTTTCACTCCAAGTAGAAGGTCTTTGTATGCCTTAGCTATAATTGTTCTTCTGTGATTAATCTGAGCAAACATCCTCACATACAAGGCAAAATAGTGGTCAGCTTCATGTCCATATGCTGCTTTGGTTTTTTTTAATGCCTCAGATGTAGTTTTGAAAGCTTGCCTTTTCAAGCAACTTTAAGAAATACCGAAGTGGAGTGAGACTGGAGAATATAGCGAGGAGCCATTTTCACACTTTCATATTCATTGGCGATAATTTTTAAATCATGTTAATGATGTTAAAGGGGTTATTTATTGCATTTCTTCATGCAACAAATCATTTCCTCTTTGATTGTTCTACTCCAAATCACAAATCCATCCGAAAAAGTTGATTATTAATGCAGGTTTCTTTACTCTTCTTTCATTTGATATGCTTTCTTGTTTTCAAAGCAGTTGAAGAAAAAAGCTCATTCTTATTAGAAACCATCGTTACTCAGTTAATGGATTAGGACCGAAAGCAGTACAATTCTTAAAGCTTTGCAATACAAGCGTATTTGCTCATCTACTATTAGTCAATCTCATGCATAAACAAACAGGGTTGATATACTAAGAGATTAAGAAAATCATATTATTTCTTACAATTAATCTATACATGTTAAACTACAGATGACATCCAAGTGTCTCGTTTAAAAAAATTATAATTTTTTTGATATTCCGTAAAGGCGCTAGTCCAATATTTTCCCGTTTTTACAGTTGTAATCAGAGGAGAAAGATGAAACAGGTTTCTGGTTTAAATCGATGGTTTCTTCACTAATGAGAATTAATTTATATCTTAAGTTTCCATAGTAAAAGATCGCTGTATGCTAGCGATCCTTTATTAAGGAACTTGCAGAAAATTAACATTCTGAAATTGACCAAAATCATGCTGTTAGTCAGGCTGGAAAATGGTTTTAATTGGAATTCAATATTTCACCTATGTTAGAAAATATTATCTCCAACGCTCGTGAATCTCTCCGATATGGTACGTTGGAGTTTATTCCCTCGGCTAGTTTTGGGAGGTTTGCGAAGTGAAGTCAGACTTCGCAGACCTCAAATTCACCCAAATTCGTTGGTGACACTTCTTTCTTGCCAAGCACGCAAAATTACTTTATTTATTAGTCATCTTCCATGCATCTTATCTTCCTTCGTTGTTTAACAAAAATATTTCCATTTTTAGTCTATGTGTTTCAACAAAAAACTCGGATTCTCGTGAATGCTTCATGCCCAAGGGAAAACCTTTTTGTTCAGGTTCTACATTTCTTGATCACTTACTACTGAGAACGATAACATTGAACAACATTTAATACCTTTTGTAAGCCGCAAATATCCAGATTTTTTAGATAATTTAAAGACCACTTAAGCTCTTAATACGTATGTAAGAATAAAATATAAGGTATGATGAAATCATCGTGTAAAACCCTCCGGTCTTGAATGTCGTCGATATTATTTCCAATGCTAATCTGAATATCAAATGCCTTTAGGCCAACAGAAATCGTTTCGGAAATTCTATGATAATAACTGTAGTTCAAAGCTTTGCTATCTAGAAATCAATTTACCTCTTATCTTGATATGCAAATGTTGCATATGAAAGCTCGATTAATGTACAGTGTTTATGGATATAGATCAACTAAATGAGAAGATTATGTTGTCGATATGAAACGACAAGAAACACACTGTCTAGAACCCGACGAATAATGAAGCGTACATGGAACAGATCATGGGAAAAAAACCAATCTTAACCATAATCTCTCTCAAAAACCAGTAGAATGGAATTATTAAAGCTCAAGATTGCAGGACATAAACAAAAAAGAATTAAACATTTTACTAGGGCAAACTGATAAGAGAACTAAGACAGTTGCACCTCTATGGATATCTACTGATGAAAGCACAAAGCTTGGTTTAGTGTTGTGGACATTTTTATGGTAGGGCATTATTAAGCAATAATAAAATATTAATTAAATAATAATAGTAATCTATAAAAAAATTAATAAATTGTCAACTGCTCCAAGTACTGTAGCGTTGAATGAGTATCAAAATTTCTATTCTAGAACTCATAAAGGTGTTTGACAATGCCACTTGCTCAATAGCCGACAAAATGTTGCCAAAGTGTTACAAGAACTTAATAAGACATTATTGTGGGTTAATTGTGGTTCCTCCGGTCATCCTACTTGAGGCATTGTCGTTGATTTCATACATTAACCAACTTTCTTAACAGTGGTTGGACTTTATGCATATCCGGAGCTTGGAAAGAAAATTAATGGGCACTTGAAGACAATAGCAAATTGGTTGGCACTCAACGAGCCGTCTTTGATTATTGAGTTGATTTATAGCAGCTACATGAAGGTAGATTATATCAGAGTTCTTACAGCGAAGTGAAATTACTTCTGTGCCAATGCAATGAAATGCACTTCGACAATTTTGATGAACTCATCAATAATGAGATTGCAACTTTGAAAACTTCTCTGGAATTTATTGGCTTTATTATCAAGATTTACTGTTTTTAAAACTGAGTAACTGTGTAAATTCCAATAGGGTAGTTAGTGGCACACACATAAAATAGCAACTTTAAATATATGGCGTTGATGCCAATGATAACATTTGCGTTTTAGGTGTAAAAATTCCAATAAATAAACTGGACAGCTTATACCTGCCTTTGTGCACACGTGAAATTTATTATCTCGGTTTGAATGCCTCATGCTATTTTGCAGAGAATTCTTTGCAGATTCTCACAGCCACGGTTGTGGAATTGTAATGTGAGAAGCACTAAACGAAACATTGGCCCAAAAATGTTTAATTTCGGTCCAAATCGAGCAGTTCCATGAGTAGGCATTCCATCAGACAATCAAGAGTGTAAAAGCGGTTTCTCGGACTAAATTGCTGGAAAAGTTTTTACCAGGTGAACCACCTTGTTAAGCCTCAGTACGATTGAGAACTTATTCGGTTTCCCATAGCAGTTGCTGTTTTGTATGTGTAGCAAAAATTAACTACAGATTAGATAACAATAATTCGAAATTTCCTGCCACTTTGAATTGCGTTGTTTCAGCTGTTTGCCAAATTAGTCGAAATCCAGCAAGTCGAGTGCTCTAAATATTTTCATCGACATACTATACACATGCTAAAAATACAAAGTCTTACCTTGATAAACAGGTTTTTCAAAAATCAGTCCTGCACAAAAAGTCCCGGTTAGCACCCACAGCACAAATCCTCCGGGCCCCATCGTCGGGGGGCCCATTTCACCCACAACTCACTAAGTTGATTTTTAAAATCACAGTTATTAACTTAAAACAATGGGCGATCGTTTTTTAATGTTCAACAATCGGTCTACCGGCTTATCAATTATGTAATTGCACAAATATTGCTTGAGTTGTATTGTAGTAATGTAATCTACAACAGACAAAATAATGTAATAACAGTTAAAGGTGCCAAAAATTGTGATTGAATTATCTTGGCGAAAATGAGTAAGAGTTTTGTTGACTTTAATGCAAAATTGGGCAAAACAAAGTTAACACAATTATCTACGTGCTTAATGTTGAATAATTTATTAAACACACAAGGCGACATTGCAGTTATGTGTCAAATTATTAGTCGTTTGGAGAATTACGTATTAGTGGGTTCAAGTTGGACTCAACATTGTCGCGCTTCAATTGACCAATTAAGACCCAACACGACAAGGGCAGTCTTGATGATATTTATTTCGATGATATAAATAACACTTGGATTATGTTACAGAATAACAAAATTATATTAATACTTACATTTTTTAAATGTTAATAATAATTTAATATATTTAACTGAGTTTGTTGATATTTGCCCATAGTGACGATTTATGTGCTCATTTACGATCACTATTTAAAAATACTTGTTTGAATTATTAATAAATTTTTAAATGTTTGTTGTAACGGTCCAGACTACAAAAAGGGAAAAATTACTACTTGTCTTTTACCCGATCTACGCATCGATTAAAAACGTGACAATTCCTATCAAAACTATTTAATTTATTACTTAAACTGACTGAACTGAATAATCGTAAAAAAATGTGATTTACAATGTTTGAACATACTTACTACTATAGACGAAACAGTTAAATTTAGGCGTGGAAGATGTTACTCAAATCTAAAAATTCCACCGGATGTTTTACTTGAAAATGAAATCATTAGTAGTAAAAACATCAGAAAAACAAACAAATTGCGATTAAGAGGTTTGGCCAAATTTGCTAAGTATTGCATTTATTATTTTTTTGTTGCTCACTGTAACCCTTCCTATTTTATAGTGAGTAAATGGCAATTATAGATTTATATTATTTACTTAGTTTTTTTCAAAAAAATTCCTGTAATGAATTGTTTGGCGCTAATTTTTATTAAAATACGTCTACCTATAGGTAGCACCCGTGTGCATGAGCACTAAATATACCTGACCAAAATTCGTAAAAGTATTAAGTTAACACGCTGCAACACTTTCACAATTATATTGAATTAATCTGTTCTTAGAGCGCACTTATATTTCGCATCCACTCAATGTAAATGATTCTTGAAAACTGGTTGATTTTCTGGAACGTGTTTGTGTTTTAGACATGAATCTGACGACTACACATGCATATGCACCGGTTTCAATTTATCCAAAATGTGATTTGAAAAATTTAATATTGTTTAAATGCAGCTATAAATGTGAAGTGATCCATTACGAATCCAAAACAGTCCTTCGAGATGGGTCTGGTGTCTGTCGGTGAGGAATTTTCGCGGTTTGGTCGGGAGTGGAAAACGATATTTTCTACGATAAGTTTAAACTGTTATCCAGTTCTATTGAAACGTACTTGAGTATTAAATAATTTTTTCCATAAAAATATTTTTACTAACATTATGTTCTGTCTTTCCTATTATTCGTCGCTTTGCTTATGAAGTAAGATTTTTTTTGAATTTGCACTAACTATTTCTTGCTTAAACTATCAGCTATTTGCATTGAGATTTTTCAGGTTCTGAATTTTTTGAGAAAACTTTGTCATATATTTATTATTATTAATGGCTTTTATAGACATTAATTTGGCTATTATAGACAAGGACTTTAAATTTCAACCTATAGATTCTACTTAAATAACATAACCAGTGCTATTTTTCATTCGACTAAGGAATAAACTTTTAGCAATTCGACAGCAGAACAAAAAGTATTAGATCAGAATTGAAGTACGAATGAAGTGAACCTGAACCAAAAGAAATGAAACTTCCTGAATAATTTGAACGGTCTTGCGAAAACTTTTCAAAGTATAGAAGCTTAATAAAAGTGTTTGTAGTAATCGGATTTTATTTAGTTTTAATGTTTTTTAGATGAGTGGCGTGCTGAAATGCTGTTTGATATTGATTGAAGCTAATACGCTTTTTGACGCCTGAAAAATTGCTTTGCGATTTGAGACTGGCCCCAGCAGGAGAAATTTAAAACGCTCAAAGTGATCCTGACATTAAAACAGACAGTTTCAATCAAATGTTCTTTTCGAATTGAAAAGCGCATACTGATTTTTGGAAATTTAACACGTTCAATTCTTGCTGTTGTAATTGATTTTTATATGAACGGAAGTTGAATGAAACAGTAAAGATTTTTGACTAGAAACCATCCAGAAATGAATAACTTGAACGTATGTACCTACTTAGTTTTAGATCAATCAATTGATTTCCTTCAGTAACTTTTAGCAAAGGCATGGAAAACGAGCGAATTTTCAATTAATGTGAGAATATTCGTGATGATGGTAAACATCTGCCGGAATCCCGCATCAATATTTGTGCGGTTGTTTCATTATATCGGTTTGCAATATAAAATGAGAGCAAGTGTAAATATAGGGCCAATTTGCAAATTTTAACACGTACACTCGTATTGAACTGTCAACGTGCACACACGAGTTAGGTAAATCCGTATCAGCGGCATTCGGAAGGCTCCAACAATTGTAAACAATTGTATCCTGTTCAAACAGTGCCTTTTTGGTCAGTTATGTGCAGAATAATAGATTTAAGTACCTGATTTTAAATCAGTTTTTCCATATTTTTAAACCGCACTTTTTGCAATTTAGCTTGATTTAATTAGTAGCATTAGGAGATTATTAGTTACAATAATGTATTTAAAAACGTTACACTTTTTGCAAATGACGAATAAAAATATATGCGTTTTTAATGGAAAAACAATATTGTTTTAAAATTTGTTTTTTTATTCGTTCATTAAAAACACCCAGCGAACTCGTTATCGAATAATATTTTTTATTTTTTTTTCGCTCGATAAAACAAACGCGGAGTATGTATCGATGTTGTAATATTTTTTGCTTGATGCTAATAATGGTAACACGGGTATCCGGTTCGGCAAAATATACTGGTGGTGTTTAACTGAATAAATACGGTATAATATTTAAGTCTTATTTTATGTATGTTTATTTTGAGGATCAAATATTCCTGTATAACACTTTTTTCGTGATTTACGTATGTGAGAGTAGCTCGATTTATAAAAATATTTTTATAGTATAATACGATTATACACACTATAATACACGTATGCATCCCCTTTGATTGGATTATAAAAATTTCCCTTAATACGAATTTATTTGGAAACGGTTTGAATACAAGTGACTAAAGAAATTACGACGAATTTACGAATAAAATACCTTTGGATTCATTTACGCAGTATACATTTTTAATATTTTCAAACTATTGCAGACTCAAAGGCAGAAAAGTCGATATTTTAAACATCTGGATCAATCTACTTTTGGGATTAATTTTTCTATTCAAGTGCTTCTTATTTAAAACGTTTTTCAATGGATAGTACACAGTATTTTTCCTTAAGTATTTTTGATAATGAATTAGATTTGGTATTCCGTTATAGATAGTTAATCGATGGAAGTTCGTGAAAGCAAACATTACATTAGAAACTGATTTATAGTTATATGAAATTATTAAAATACCGGTAATATTAAAGATAATGAAAAAAATATAATAGTTTTGAAAACTGAAAATCAAATGAGGTAATTAAGAAGTGAAAAATATTATCATGAAATTAATAAGTCCAAATTAAATATCATAAGATGAAATTTTTTTAAAATTATTATCAACAGAATGTACACAAAGGCTTTCTGTATTATTATACTAGTAAAAATGTTTGAAATAAAAAAAAACAATTTCTGTTGAAATTGTTTTGAAACATATATACATTTATAAATGTTATGCAAAAGACACATCCAGTGGACTTTACAGTCTTCTGATAAGGAACTTGAGTCAAATTCGATTTTCCTGCACAGGAAAATCATTTAAAATTCTTATATTTTATAAATTACCTTTTAATTACCTTAAATGCTTAACTTCGGCTTATTTCAGATATTTATAGTATTCAATGTTAAAAAAATTTGCATTCTCAATATTTTAACACATGAAAGAATTTCTCATATGATAGCGAATTATTAATAGTGAAGTAATGTATAAACATAGAAATTATCTGCTGGGTAATCAGAAATAAATAGATGATGTTGCTTTCAGTTCATGGCAATTTGGAGTTAAACTTCATAAAATCAAATTAAAGCTGCTCCTCCTACTTTTAATGCTATTCCTCGGTTTAATGTTGTGCCTTTTCTTACGTGAATAGTGTCAGCAAATTTGAAACCGATTCAACTCAAGTGGAGTGTATAAAGTTAATAATATTAATAAACATAGGTGATGTTTTCGAGAAAGTGCTGCTCAATATTTAAGAAAAATGGAAAATTTGTGCGTAAACTATATTAAACAAACCGACTTTTTTCCAACAGAAAAACTCATTTAAACTGAAACACCTAAACTGCTTCCGCATAATTAGTATTGCAGGAAGCAGGAAAGTTAATAGATTTTAACTGATTAAGGAACTTTGCCATTTACCCAACTTTGTAACTAGGAATTTAACAAAAAATCTTTACTTTATGCAATTCGGTAGCACTTCACTTTACCAAAATGTGCACACACAGTCACTTAAGATCAGCACATCAACATGGACCCGGATTGGTCAGATTCAATGAATAAACTAAGTCAGAGAGATTAAAGAATACTGATTGCACCTGCATTGGACCGATTATCGATTGTTTATTCGATTGCTATTTGTTGTCTTGTGAAAAGATACCTGTACGACTGGCTCCACTTATGAAAGAGATAGTGTATATGGTGTGGTGCTTGTGTCGTTCAGCCACTATAAGAGAATCTTTGCACATCTACTATATTCTTTTCAGCCACGCTAGTCGCATGAAAGGATGTAAGTTGGCAGAATTAATTTACCCACTTGTCTGTCAATATAACAAGTTTATGTTATTTTCCTTCTACAGCTTTTGCTGGAAACGAATTCACTAACTAACTAAGTGCTCTAAGTTATTTTGTCTAATCGTAACATTTTCTAGATGGTTTCAAATATACAATTAAATGATGGCAATTTTTTTACTTTTTTTTAAATTTCGTAAACTATTCCTAATTTTATCTTCTCACAAGTCGTTAGGTATTGCTTATAATTACAAAAAAATACTTGTTTCGCACGTTGCACGCGATCGATTTAATTCCTCATGTTTCTTCATTTTTTCTGAAGATAAACTTCTACTATTACTCGGCGAAGTTCAGATGTTTCGTGCGTAGAATTCTCGATTCAAATCACAATTTTCTCAAGCGGCCAGTTGGAAGAAGTGCAACCAATCAACCATAGAATGGCGTCTTAGGTATCCCGAACTTAACCCGTTAGAACTTTTTGCGTTAAAAAATATCGCGAAGCTGTTAGGTATGTAGTGCACGTTATTGGAAGGTTCAGATTTCCTGGTTTCTTAGTGCTCGGTTTCAGTGTCAGGCTTGTTTTGCTTAAATAATTTTTCGATATAATTGAGGATAAATTAATCAGGTGAAGGCTTTTGTTAGGAACGGTGGTCCTTTCAATGCTAGCTATTCATTTGATATTTGTTCATGTAGTTTTAATTAAGTAACAAAAGCACACAGATCAACCATTCATCAATAGAAAACTCTCAGCTAGGGCAATCCAAGATATCCAGAAGTTTTAAAGTGGAAGAAGTAACTCAACTTAGTGGGATTTGATTGAATTATCGTTATCAAACGTTAAAAAATATGAAAATAACAAATTAACTTTTTCAAGTTATAATACGATTTTGATTTTGTTTGTTACGAAGTTTTGAATTTTTCTTAAAGTTTCCTTTTGAGAGTTACTTGTTGGCTATAGCTGATGCAAGATAGATGATAGCACGATGCAGACCCATAAACTTGATATTTGTATGTTTAGGCGTATTGACTATGTCTTTTTTAGGTATTTTAGTTTATTTTGCGATTTGTAGCAAACACTTGTTACCTACATTTTGCTATCATTTTTTTAAAAATGTGTATGTAGCATCAAAGTATGATGAATACAAAGTAAACCTAAATGAGTGTGATTTTTTCGGTTCACATTTGCTAATGATTAAGATTGCTTGAAATTGTAAGAAGATTAAGCACCGAAACTTCTGCAAATGGTTAGCAATTTAGACTAGAACATACATTTTATTTGAAATTTTAATTGTCTCATATTAATATATATTTTTTAATTGTAGATGTACTCTTCGATTAAAATCGCCAGCTGATAGAAATAGGTAAGTTTTGTTTGATTAAATAGCATCTGTTCATTTATTTGGACACGCTTATGAAAGGTATTGAAATTTATGTCTTAATGTTGGGTCTTAACTGGTCAGGAAATCGCGGAATTGGCGTCAGGTCTACATTTACTACTAAAACCATAATTCTGATAATCAATACAAACTTTCACGTTTACTTTACCAACAAAAAAAAATCATAAAGTTAGTGTTCGCGTGAGAAGTCGAGTAGATCACCACTAGGAAGCACGAACGATTGAAATCATAAATAAACAAACATTTCAAAGTGTATGCTGTGTATTTGGCACAGTCACTGCAGCTCTGTGCAACTCAATTTTGGAAGCAAAATATTATCTTTGTTAATTTGATCCAACCATTGACATTTTAACCTGTAGATCGGCTTTACTCAGCTAGAATTGATTCCAACGAAGTGTGACTGTGACCAGTATACGAGATTAATTGTTTTAATCATCCGTTTTTCGCATCTGCTTGTGCCGAGACGCCATTCAAAAGGAATATATTGAGGCCTATTTCAACTTATCTAACGTATATTAAGGAAGCCATCAATAATATAACGAATTTGTGACGCAAAATATTTTATTCGGAAAAGTTGAAAAAATCTATTTGATAATGATCATTGGAGAAGTCAATGTTCAGACAGTCGGTCGCAACCGCGAAATTCAACGCATTATTAAATTTTATTTGTATGCAATATGATAAATATGCTTCTGTCATCAAATTAAGCGCCCAGAAAATAAATAACCTTTACCATCTAACTTTCTAAGTTCCTTAAAACTGTTGAGACGAGCAACGGGGATAAGTATTCGGAATAGGTAAATGGTCCAGTGAAGGACTTTTTAATATCAAACAACCCATGGTAAATGCCCTTAAGGGATGGATTTTCGCTCAATATGAACACATTTTGGTTTCAAGCGCCTCTGTTTGTGTTCAATCAGACATTGGTTCTTTAGTATTATTCCCGTTTTTGAAAATAAATTTACTTGACGAGAACGCTTCCAAAAATCCTGTAGAGCGCTTTCATGTACAGGTTACTTAAATATTAATAGCCAAAACAGTTGATGCTTACTAGAAAAGCTCCCAAGGCTCCTAATCATCAAAGTTGCACTTTCAACGTTCAAACGTTTATTTCTATAAGTCTTAGCTAAGTTGTACTGTCTCTGGCACTTTCCCATAGCAAATAATGAGTTTTTTAAATATCATTACACCACTATTAAACTCAATAAATTTAATATTGATGATCAAATCAAAAACTCCCATCCAAAGAACCATCACCATTAAATTGATAATTAAATCGCAACTTGGGTGACCCAGACATTGAAATTTTCGCACGTGAGAAACTTGATAAAAACTTATCGACTAATTATTACGAGCAATCGTTATCATCCATCGAATCGGCAATAGCTCTCACTAAAAGTACCACAACGCAAACTGGTCTGAAAGATGAAACTTTACACGCGGTTGTATCGGTCTGGTGAATGGAAATGAGAAAACAACAAAGAGTTATTGCATGGACGTTAAAATGAACTTCTTCTACGGTAAAGGCGATTGCATCGATGCAATTGATTACATTTAAAGTCCCAAAAAATAATTTGTAACGATAATAGCAGTGTTTACAGTCTGGATGCTGAAATAACAGATTCATTCGTTTGTATCGTTTGGAATGTAATTTAACATTGCAAGTCGAAAACAATTAGTGAATTTCCAGAAATATGATTCACACAATACGTTCCGAAATTAGAAACTATTTTTGAATAAATGTGTTAGGTTTGCCTTCTCAGTGTCTTTTGTTCGCAGGTACGTATAATTTATGCATACTACTATTTTGCGGTTGCTACATGTATGAATTGCACTAAAGTACATTTACTCTTTTGAGGTAACTGCTTCCTCCAACATCGGGTGTGAAATTAAAAAGAACATTTTCATCAGATTTTTGTATAGCTAGAAAATAACAATGTATTTGTAGATTTCGAATCTACTGCTTTACTGTATATGGGACTGTAAAAACCCAAAAGGCGCAACATACAGAAAGGCACCATTATCTTCTTTTCAATAATAATTTTTCACTTATCAAATACGTAAATTGCTTTATAAATAATTTAGTATTGTGCTGAACTATGTCGGCGCAGTAAGCGATTTTTTGCTTTTATTAAATACGTCTGATAAGGTCTTGTAATAGATAGAAAAAATCACTCCAAATTCAATACGCTTGAAGACATGGCTTCAAAATTAAACAGGGGACGCTTTGCTTGTTCTTATTTTATTTATCCAATGCAGACATTCGAATATCGAGAAAGATATAATTGTATATGAAAAGTATGGGAATTAATTGACCTGTTTTATCCCCTGTTGTCACCTGTTCAGTTGAGTTTATTAAGTACCGTTTTAGGAAAGTTTCGCAGTGATGCTCGCTTTTCACCGTTATTGTTTGAGGATTTAACGATTATGAGTTATACTTTTTCAGTTCAAAATATTGGTCACTACAAGCCATCTACCAATTCAAAAACATACTTATATATGTGTAAACATTGACGACGCGAAAACCAAACCCAAATATGGTGACTCATCTTTCTTTGTCTGAACAACTTAATACCTTTCTTTATTAATCGAAAAAATGCAAATTAAATTACTCTTCGATCAATTTGTAGTCAATTTTCTGATAGTCTAAATGGAATGATTCATCGAGGTTCAAGGTGAAGCTTGGATTGCTTGGCAGGATTTAGATAAGCAATTTTGGCTTTGACTATTACTTCAATCAGTTCTAACAGCAACATAGATACCTACTTTGTTTCAAAGATTAAAAGCTCGGATCATTCACATTTTAATAGAGCAACTAAGTCTCCAAAAATAATGTTTTAGTTATTTCAAATTGTGTAAGTTGATATACGTATACCTAATTGAAACATAGTCTAAAACCATCTCATAATTATTGTTCATTATCATTGTGAGTTACTTACTTAGTGAATACTATCGTCTTATAGCATCCAGAGCGCTTAATGAACTGAAAGACATATTTTCGCACATTTATGCAAATAGCGATTGCTGATGCAATTAGAACGGTCTATTTAATATGACCGTCACTTTTTTTGGTAGTGGAAGCTGCATTATTAATCCGATTAAGTTAACATCAAGCCTGATGCAAATCGCTTTTTAGCGTTGGTTACCTGTCCTGATCCAGTGGAGCGTATTGAAATTAGATATCTCTGTAATACTCTATAGAAATGAACGTGTGCAAGTGTAAACATGTCAAGATGATTTGAAGAAAACCAATTTAAATTCCTAGTAACCTGCTGTAACAGGACATTTATTTTTGAGGAATTCTTGTGACGGTAATTTGATTCTGAAGTTCTTCTAGTATAATATGAAAAGTAACTCGAAACTACCGATTTATAAAAAAGTTCTAACCTATACCTTGATAAGTGAAATTGCTGGCCAATATCTGCAGATTGGAGACGACAATATACGCCATTCCTTTGCAATAATATGTCTGGAGCTTTTACACTGATGAGCCCTTTACTCAAGTGAACACATTTTCGAACGAACGCAAGCATTTAAGCTGATTAACCTTTTAATGCTAGGAAAGTATAACTAATTTAAGGGTATTGATGGTTTCAGAAGGAGAACTATGAGTCTAGTGATAAGCAAACTTGATATTTGTTCAAAGTTCTAAGTCGTTTTTTCGCGAATTTTTATTTTATGCAGTACTTCCAAAGAAGTGTAATATGAAATTTTGCTTTGATGCTACCTTACTATGCTGATGACATACATTATTAAAAATACTTTCCAAACAGTGTTTTGGGCGTGATTTTTTAGAAAATTTGATATATCATTTCAACCCTGAAGGTTGAAGGTATCTGCTGCTTGAGGTTCTAAATAGGTGAACTGCTCTTTTTTCTTTGCATTTGTGTGTTATTTCGTTTGCTGATTCGTTTCGTTGCTGATTTTTTTATTGTTGATGTTGCTGTTCCTTACAACCTTTTTTGTGCCGAACGCTTAATGTGCGGCATTTTAGAAATACATTCGTATCTAGTCCCAGTTTTTATCAACGCTGTCTGCATATTTGTAAAATAAATCTTTGTAAGGTGTATGATGTATGCAAGTATGGTGAAAATTAACAGTTTGATTGCTTGTCTATGAGCGCGCCTCATTCTCGTCTTCTCTTACCACATTTTATCAGACAACGGATTATATGCTGAATTCATAGACTGCTGTACCTATACGTATATTTTCCCCGTTTTTTATAGCCCGCGCTGAGTACAAGGCAAAAACATTATAAAACGCGTGTTTTTGATTCTTTAAAATCAAAGCGATACTAATTATCTAATAAGCTCCAGCTTTGTCTTATTCCAAACCAATGCACCGATTCTCTTTCGGTTCGTATATGGGCAAGATATTGTGAGACACACTGTATATCAGCTAGAACGTTGCAAAGTGCAAGCAAACGTGTAAGCATAGTTGTGTAGGACTTTCGAATATCAGAAAACTATAACATGGAGGCAAATGAACATGGATAAATGAACCATTATTTTGATTAATCAAAGCCATTAATAGTATTCTACGACGTTTAGAAGTAGCAGGAAACGTACTTATGAGAAATTTATTGTGGATCGCATATTTAATGGCCTTTTCCACTTAATATTTACTAATTGTGTCACACTTTCTAGGACAAACGACCAGCACACATTTGTTAAGTATTGACCTGTGGAAATAATTTCCAAAGAAGGATGGGCTACAGTTAATGCTTGACTGTTAGGATTTTTACGGATCTGGGATATTCATATTTTCTCATCACTGAACATCATTATTCATATTGAGTCGCTGTGTGCAATACATGCAATATGAAGAATTAATGTAAATTGGCAACTAACTTTGTTAGCATGCAACTAATAAAACTGCATTAAGCAAGTCTATTTGTCTTTTTTACATGTAGTTGTAGTTAATGCAAAAAATAAATTTCAACAAGAGATTTAAAGCTAACTTAAACTGCAGAATAATCAAAACTTTCAGAAGTAATTCGGAGTCTGAGTTTACCTCTTATCGAACACAATGACATATTTAGAACGACGGGAAACTGATGTAACTTAATCTGGGGGGATAAAATGATGCCAATACGGCAAAGACATTGTGATCGGTTATATCTGATGACTGATTGGCTGGAGGGGCGCACTCTTTTTTGTTTTCCTCCTGAGCTCACGATACAATGTAGAATGTATATTAAGGAGCTACGGCATGATCAAAATGGTTTTCGGCTCCCCTAGATCTTTTTAAAATAAACTTCTGTTTATAGCATCAGGAAAATATTTTATAGGCTCATTTATTAGTGGAAGCTCTGGTAAGTGATGAGTACATTTGAAACGCATTGACTTGCTAATGCTAATTAGCCCCTGATGGAATTTCTGTACACAAACAAGCCGCCATAATGCCTAAACTTTGTCGATATCGGATCTTACCTAATGGCTTTGATTGAAAACAATAGCTGGTAATCCGGAACTGGGCGCAATTCAGACCAACTTGTCTCGGCGCAAGTATAATAATATTTGCATATTTGTAAGGTTTGATCTTAAACTTTACTTAGCGAATGAAACAGATCAGTTTAATATTCGATCAAATCATAGTCTTGATTTGAGTTCTATCATTCAGGAACACTTTTGCTTGGTTGAGAGCTCCTAAATGAAGTATTCTTATACAAAACTCTACTCTACAATTGCACACTTTAAGTAAACTATAAAGTCCTCGTCCATACTATTTATTGAACAAGAGTTTAGCCAGTTCTAGATTGTCACCAGAAACCTTGTGTTTGATCAAGAACTTGCTAAGTTTCAAATCAGTTTCAACTTTGTAGCTTTAACCTCATCTTAGCTCTAATTGTTCGCATTAAGATATGCGAATACAATATGTCCTACCGCGTCTTACAATATGTCCTACCAATAACGTTAAATGTTCGATTTAAGTGATAAATTGAAATATGTATGACATCTTCAAGATTGTATTATTTATATCTATTGCTTTTCTACAGCTTTACAATAATTAAGCTCATAGATAAGTTCTATATTGTTGAGGCGGATTCATTTTTACAAACTTCTTTTATAGGTCTCTTTTTTTATTTTTTTTTTTATCTTTTTTAGCGAAATACCTAAAAATTAAGCTCATGCTAAAAGTTTCTGGATTGATGAAAAATAGTTCCTCAAATAGGCCTTGTTGAACTTTTGATTCGAAATTTTCTGTCTCAAGCTTGAGTTCTTATCCATTTTTTGAAGATTAATATTTCAGTTGAGACCTTTTTGAGAACTTGTAATTCACATTTGTTGCTTGTTTCTTGCGTATTTTTGCTGAGATAAACACTTGATTCCAGACAACTTAACCTCTATCAAAATCGAAATGACTATGAAATATGTAGAATTTACAGCGCGTTTAATTTTCATTTCATACTTTTCCATTATAAATTTTTCAACTATTACGATTGGAAATTTTATTCCCCTACAGATTGTTATTTTGACTGGATTGAAGCCAATTAATAATAAGAGCTTTTATGATACATTTAACTCTATTGCGGCGTGTGTTTTACAAAGATACAAATGCAAATATTGGTATACTAAAGTGAAGATAGTTTGGTTAATAAAGTACAATATAATTAATATTAATTGAATATTATGTAATTGTAAAGTCGATTGATCGTTTAAATTGTCTGTACCAACTGCATTATCGACAACTTCCTTTCGAATTCCATTGAGTCGAATTTCCCGACAAATTACCCAAATTGAATAGCAGTTAATTATTTGAACGGGTCGCAATCAATGTACTTTATGTTTATATATATATTTAAGTCCGTAGGCAACCAGTGAACTATGTAATATTTTCAATTACATGGGTGAGCTCATTCTCAATAAGTCTATACTGGTAAAAGAGCAATTATTGGCTGTTTTGCTTTTGTAACTATGCCGGGGGCATTCAAAAGGCTTTGCTGTTGCCGGTAACTTTTATTTGCATTAATTGCTAAGGATGATAATCATTGTTTGAATTACTCTGAGCCGGATTTGATCAAGATTACTCACATCGGGGTTCGGTGCAAAGTTTAATGTGCTAACCAATTAGCGAAATTCATGCACTAAAATTTTCGACATTTCAAATCGAAGTATGAAAGCGGTTTTTTTCAATTTTAATAAAATGCTTTAATAATAGGCCATTCGCAGGTTTGGAGCTGTTTTGGATATTTCCGAAATATGTCTACAAGAGAAAGAACTATACGTTATAAATTAATAAACTATATTGGGACGCTTCAAAGCTACAGTGATGCTTCGCTAAGAGCGATTAGAAAAACTGTCGAAAGGAAGCTGCATATTGAAATAATTTGGAAAACTTTAAGTTTGATAATCGAACGACTATTCATCTGGAACGATTTCATATTAAATTAACAGTTTATTGTTTAAAAAGTAGGCCTTTTCTGTAGATGCTTAAATCTTCCGTTTTAAAAGTTTAAAGGTGCACTGCCCCACTCAAGAAATAACATAAATTTTAATAAGTTAAAAATGAACACTGGATGCGAAGGGGTCAGATTGATTAGAATCATCTTAGGGATATTTTGCATGAATTAAGAAACTTTGCAAGTTTAGCAATCGATTTTTAGTAAAAAAAAATCCAAATGTATATAACATGGACACACTCATCACGGTCCTAGAAATTTTTCTGTATTTTTTTGATAAAATGGTTTTGTTGGAACGTCCCGTTGAAATAAACATTTAAGGATTTGCCTATAGCTTCATTTTAATTAACCAATAAATTAATGTTATTAACTGATTACGTTTTAAGCTCTGAAACTAACTGTAGATCAATCAATAGCAGGATTATATCTGCTTATTGAGTTGACCGTTAACACTAGCTCCAAATCTCGCATAAAATCCTACAAACTTTATTATGCATGTATTGTGCATTTTACCTCCAACTGTGGCAATGGCGGCTGAACACTTAGGTATAAACTAATGGTATTAGTAATTAATAATACCCCTGCTTTCTTCGTACCTGTCTGACCACACCCTTTTTCGTCGTGTGTGTCTGGGGCTTATTAAAATCGGATAGCAGTTCAATAAATTACTGAATTGAAAGCAAAGCGGCGACGTCTTTTTGCAAGTCTGCCTGCAGTACTGAAACCGAAACGTTCTTCGGCACGTAAATTAAATGCGGTCTGAGTTAGTACTTGAGCGGTAACTTTGCGCATTTCAATTAGACCCTAAATTTTCGATCAGACTGAACTCGACAGGATTTTGAAGAAGTCAGGTTTTGCCAATGCAACTTTAGGCACATTTTTCGAGCTAAATCATTCCCTTTGATAGGAGCTGGCGGTAGGAACAACTGGAGAAAACGGGACTAATCAAGATCTCGCTGTGTGATATCAAAGAACCATGCTTATAAAGAATACATTTGTTTTTCTACTAACGAATCAATTATTGAAGCCTACATAAGATTCCATTAAGAACTATATTTATTATGTAGAAAGCTCATCTTCAGTGTTACGCAGGAAAAACTGGCCAGGTTTCATTAACTGGATCTATCGAAATAAATTTCACTAAATAAACCCAGACAGAAACTCGGCGACATCTTTTTCACATGCCGTGCCGCTACAGAAGTGCAGGAAAATCGGTCGCAGGTTGGCATCAGGTAGATTCTCATGACGGGCATGATTTAATGCCTGTTCTGTCATGTGCCAACCTTTGTCATCTTTCGGATATCTGAATAAGCTCCGTTTAACTTATCATGATTAATTTGCTACTGCAAGCGATTTTCTACCAGTGCCTTTGCGAGCCTCTGATTGTCAGTTCAAGAATTCATGGTAAGTGTTTGACTAGCATTTTACTATTGGCAAACCTATTTAAAAAAGTTGGAAATCTGCTTAGAAAACTATCCATAAATCTAATTTAAAGACATAACTTATATAGGATGATAAGGCTACGACTTCCGCTCTTCTTTACAAAATGTTTTGTTGAATAATACTGATGGAGCCTTGTACTGTACTGCATAAATTGATACAGCTTATAAGTGGGAAAATGTCGCAATCCTTAAGGAAAGTACCTATTTCATCATTTTAACATATCTAATACCATATATGGTCCTCACTAATTTCTGGTGATTATCGTCATAAAGCGAATATGTATATTTTTTACAGAATTTCAGTATTAATTGAGTAAATACTTACTTCCCTATATGTCCCTAACAAGTGTTTTGTTTCTTGAGAATCCTAACAATATGCAGAACGTCAATTCAGTGTCCATCTAACAAGAATTTTTATCAACAACATTATCAAAAGGTTGCATGTCCTTCATTGTTATTCGTTTTGATTTATATTTTTTATGTAAAATTTGATTTCAAAGTTTGCAAACAATTCTTTATAATTCCGTTACATTTAAATCCGAGTAGACCAACAATTAAATTTATGGCCATGTGCAATAGTGAATTCGTCGGTCCGCTCAGGTTCTTTTAACAAAACATTCAAACTTGGCAGGTTTTTCATCTCCCAGTCGCCTCATATAAATTTTTATCTTCTTCGTATTTCAGTCATAGTTAAACCTACACAGTTTTCTTCTAATTATCTTCAATTAATCAGTAAATTAAAAATAAACAATTTTATAGAGTGCACATCTATTCACATACGTTTGACACTCATCACGGAATTCTTTGGGAAGCCCCTTGAGGCAATATTTTATTAAAGTAACCATTAGCTATAGGAAACTATTGATCTTTTTTATTTTACAAGTAAAAATTTTTTAAAATGATTATTTTATAGAATTATAAAGTTATCTGCTGCTATGTACAAAGCTGATGATTTAACAAATTGAGTTTCACTTTTCTCAGCAAGTCGAGCTGAAAGCGTAATGAAACCACCGATATTTTTTAACAATTACTGAGCGATTTTCAATCAACAATAGATGGAACCTGGTTCGTTACCCTTCATTGCGGGCTAGTCTCGTTATCAAAATAATTGATCTCACTCAAACTGACTTAACAAAACTTCCCCGTATCAAGATCGCCTTGGCTCTGACAGACAGGACAAAAGAAATGCCAGATAGACAAAAGAATAATGCCAGATAAGGTCGCCATCGGTAATGGGCCAGAGATATCTTGATTCCCGATTTTTTTTCGAACCATCCATCCTACAAGTTTGGTAAAGTTTTTTTAACTCGCACGTGGAAAGTTTTCGGTACGCACGTTTTTCGCCTGTTTTTACCATTGTTCATGACCTTTAAGTTATTGTTAATAATAATTAGGTGAATTATATGGGTGGGTTTGCTGTGGTCGGTCCCTATAAGATTTAAGAGTGGTAATATCAAGATACGTGGTTATGGAGCAATGGGTTTGTCTCAGGGCAAGAAGGCGTGGAGCGTGGAGCGAGGCTGTTTCAGCACGTAATAAAAAAAACGCTGGAAAAATATATTTGGAATATGAGAGCATTTTGTTCTATAACATTGGTTGCTACGTTCATGGATGCGACAATAAATTTTAAATATAAAATGATTTCCTTCCGTAAGCTGTCTTGCAAACTTAGCAGTATCTGCACGACTTTAGACGGTGATTGTGTGAGTTCAATGGGTTTTCGCGAAATTAATTCTCAGCCGAACTGGGCCTGCCAAACTCGAATAAAATAGATGTTTAAGTTGCTTTAGCGAAAAATTAGAGACATTTTTATGTCGATGAGGTTGTGTTCACAGGGAAGCAAACATTTCGCAATGGGGCTTGAAATTCAAACCAACAGTCAAAAGACGTTCCTGTAATGCGTAAGCTTTGGGTTAATTAAATATGATTTGGTTGCAAAAGAAAGCTCTATCAAATCGAATTTTATAAAAGTCCTAATACCGCGTCCGAAATAAGGCTTTTGATGTAAAATTTTTGCATTCGCAAATTAATATGTAGAACGTTTCAACTTGTTTGTTTTTCGATCGATTTTTATCAAACAGATTTTCTGGTGCTCTAAGTTTCATACAATAAGGTTCTCTCTTCAACGGTTAAAATTTGGAAACTTTTTGTCTAGAAATTATGTAATAACTTATCTGATTTCCATGAACTCGAATTGCTTTAAAGCAGACTAGATTTTGTTGCTTTTTCGCGTGTTTTGCTAGACTATTTATCTGTCATTATATCTATTTAAACCTTATTTTATAGACTGCAGAACCGATTGTCATAATTATAATGCTGTTTATAGATGACAATCAAAATTCACCAAATGCTGAGGCTAAATTAAATTGAGTTTGCCAATCATGATTAAATATTGCTTTTTGTAATATTTTTTGTCTTAGCTTTTCTTTCCTACTTGTTTCTACCTAACTTAAAATATAAAAAAACATTATCTTGCAAATTGATACAAATATATGTTTAATAATTAAAAATGTTTTTAAAACACAAACGCGAAGCAATATTTTAATAATTACTTTTATGTATTTTAAAAATATGTCTTATAACTTTTTATGTCTTGTGAAAATGGTATCTCATATTCCTATTTTGGAGAAAGCCTGTGACTTCCCGATTGGAGTTTCCATTCGTGCTCCATCGTGTCAATAAATGTTTTGTCCGGTTTCAATCCAATTATTTTCTCAATACGATGAACAAATTTGAAAGACTGATCCACACGGAACATGATGAGTTCCGTGGATAGATCAATGTTAGAAAATGCTTTATTATATCCATTTTCAACTGGGATGAGCATATAAAAGAAAGTTTAGCAATTTTTAAAATCAGTCAAATTTGAAAGATATAAATTATGTTTTCGCTTTATAATAAAAAAAATCACATTGAATTAATTATTTGGTAGTGCTTCTTTCAGTAACAAATAAATACTAACTGATAAATCAATGACAAAAATCAAATAAATCAGGAACAAAATGAAAACACCAATGTCTTCTGAATCAAAATCGAAATTTCTATAAAAAATGATGATGAATATATTCATCCAAACAAGCTTGTAGATTTCCAAGACCATGTTTGTTATCGTGCCCATAATTACCATGCCAATATAATGGGTTGTAATTAGGATAACTTACATTTATGTAGAAACAGGGTGTTAGAAAATGAATACATTTTTGTCTATATACTGCGTTACACTGATAGAGTTTTACTGTTTCCTTAGTTGATGTTCCTTCTGTTTAGTCCGTTCAACTTGAAGAGGCAATTTAAGTGTTCAAATGCAATTCTCAGCATCAAATTGCGCGTATTGGCAGCTTCAAAATGAGGAGGCATTGAAAACCTGATTTCTTCTAGATATCAATTCCGCGAATTAGTTCTTAACAAAGTAAATAGCGTGTGAAACGTATGTATGTGCCATCCTATCGATGAATTTAGTGCTTCGTAAACACGATAATTTGTTATTGACAACATGCAAGCAGTAACATGGATAATTGATGACAATTACATATCATGATTACCTACCGTTTACTCTGTAAACAGTTTGGCGTAAAGCGTAATAGTGTTAATAATTATATCAAGACTTAGTTTTGTAATCAAATTTAGATTATCCCCTGTACCGAGATTGCGGACATTACAATTTGAAATCAATTCGATACACATTTGTTGATTTCCATCTGGCTTGTTATTGAGCAGCTGGTAAAAGGAAATGTGTATTAGCAATTGTAAAATATTAGATCATCGATATTTTATGCAATTGTATCATATTTTTGCATTTCAACTAACTACATGTCAATTTTTGACCATTGAGCATGATGTAGCAGAAAGTCGCGTTATGGTAAGCTGTTGGTGTACTGAATTGAATTGAATTTTCATTAAAATGTTTTGTGTTTTATCTTTGAGCCGACAGAAGGTGGACAGATCGTTTGTATGAAAATCTGTGCAATTGAATAGCAAATAATTTAAGTTGTGCTGATATGAATCTTTCCATTTAGTCTGAGTAAATGTACTACCTATTAAGTGATTTTCACAATTGCAAACTTGATTCAGATATCACTAATGAAACGAAAACTTTATTAGGCAATTCCCATTTGTCGTTAATAATTATTACTCAGGATTAATTGTCCATGTTACACCTTAGCTAAATGGCAATGGTGAATTTATTAGCCCATATGGGGTATTAAATTTATCGGCGGCACAAAGAACAGATTTGACAGGTCCAGACAACTTACAGGCGTGTTTTCGTATTTATTAGTTCATTAAGAGCACATTTTGTGTATAACAACGATATAGTGCTTTGTTATGCTTATAACACCGCATAACATTGGATTTAGTACCAAGCGGATATAAAATGTTACGGTTATCGTTAACTCGCATATGTAATGTTTATATTGATATTCGAAATGTTGATTTCAAGGCGTTTTTTATTTCTTAATTTTCTATCTGGGCGTGTTCTTTATGGTGTAGTTCATTTGAATAGTCTATACCTAGATATACCAGCAGAAAATACAAAGGACGTAGAGACATTTTTTTGTTTAATTTTTGTTCTAGATAATCTATTTTTAATTAAAGCGTTTGAAATAGTTTTATGCCTGTCGTATTTGCACTGTAGCAAAACAGTATTTTATTGCCGTCGGTATAAATTGCCTTCATTTTGCCGATTGGAAGGATATTATGTGCTGCTTTTTCCGAAATTCATACTAAAGTATCTTTATGAGCCATTTGGATATATTCCTAATTATTGCACTGTTTACCGTTATGGTTTCAGGTCGATATACAAAATCCCTTTCCGACTTCCACTTATCGATTCCACATAAACTGGCTGCTGATGGTAAATTTTCTACTTTCCACCTGCCTCATTTTCACGACCATCGAATCGAACGCTACAAGGAACGCCGAAAGCGCTCATTAGATGATCCCGAGATGATTCATTATGGTATCCAGACAATATCAGATTTTGAACAGTTTTTACTGTAGTTTTCGTGTGTGCAGGCGTTGATGTTAATGGTCACTTGTACCACTTGGAATTGTGGCCTAATAGAGAGTTTATACACCCCGGCTTAGTGTTCGAAAAAAGAGACCCAGAAGCAAACATAAAAGAGCGAAATGTAAGGAGTTTGAAAGGCAAGAAATTGTGTCATTATACGGGTAAAGTGCGGGGTTATCCAAACTCGAAGGCAGCTATTTCAACTTGCGATGGCCTGGTAATTTTAAGAACCCTAATTACGACTTTAAGATTAAAATTTTATAATATTTGTTTCGGTTTCAGGCGGGTTATATCGTAGTAGAAGGTAATAAGTATTTTATTGAGCCGGTAGATGAGCATTCTCCAAATTTTAAGGGGCATCATCTACACGTTGTGCACAATAAAGTCCCCAAAGGTACACAGCCAACATGTGGAACTAAAGAATCGTGGGATGATGCTATGAAGAAGCGATTAAGGTACTTTTTGACTGCCGGAATCTTTTACGATTTTTTAAGGAAATTCTTCATGAAACTACCTGATATTTATTTGTATTGCGTAAGCTGTAGTAACGCAAAAACATATTTTTGTATCTCGCAACAGAAAAAGCTTTTGATTTATGGAACACGAAAAATATTGTAGAGAGCGAGCTTTAAGCGGAGAAGATATATTTAAAGAGAAAAGAGAGTCCGAAAATATTAATAGATATTTAGAAATGGGAATCGTTTGCGATAAATCATTCCTCAAATATCACAAGCAACGAGATGTGGAATTGTACGTTCTTACCATTATGAATATGGTAAGCGAGTTTAAGAGAAAATAATGGAAATCAATATAGAATACAGTCGATTTGATAAAGGCAATGAGTAAAATGTGTTAAAAAATCAAATGAAAATCGTTTTCGGAAAAATTCTCTTGAAATCGTTAAGTGAACGTTAGGTTCTTTTAAGGTAGCTGATTACTACCACGACTCATCAGTAGGTCATCAAATGGACATCGTAGTAGTCAGAATTATCTACTTGGAAAAGGAGGAGAAAGAAATCGATTTAGAAATCAATAGAGATTCCGGGAAAACGTTAAAAAGCTTCTGCGATTGGGCTAATAAAATTAATACTCCCGAAAACACACCCAACCACTTCGATATGGCCATGCTGTTAACCAGGTGAATAGATGCAACTGAAATTTGGCTTTTGGATCGTTTTCGCTTGTTTTGTGTTAAATGAATGCTTATCAAATTCATGCAAATCAGCTTTAAGAAAAGTTCATAATCAACATCACGTTGTTGTTCACGTTTAGGTTTATCCAAAGCAATTTTAGTCTGCACCAAAAACATGCAAATCTTCAGATTTTCATGTCTAAATTGCCTTCTAGCTGCAGTTCTAGCATATAGAACAGAACTTGATCAACAAAATATTTTGAAGCAAATTAAGCGGGAGCGGTAACCACGTTTCTGTAAAACAACACTTTGAAGAATTAAGTCATAGTTATATGCTAGACGCTTAAAATGTACCACTAAATGCATACATACTCTTAAAATCTGTAAATTTTATGACTTTACCTCTTTCAATATAGTTATCTGATGTTCTTGCTTGCATCCTAATTAAGTGTTTATATAAATGTCGATTTAATAACATACGCAGTTCATCTTGGGTGATCCCTTAATTAATTTTATTACATAAGCGCCCACCTTTTACAGCTTTAATTTATTCACATAAATTCCAAAAAGTTGAAAGAAATTTACCGACTTTGAAAGGTGCGTGCGGTGTGGTCTTATTAAGCAATGCTTTAAAGTGAGAAGTTGTTTGCACATTTCAAAAGCAATAAAAATCTCATATATTGCATTCCCCGTTTTTGTCAATAAAGTCATGTTTTTATCAAAATGTTAATGTATGCAGTTAAGCAAAATTTCAAAGTAATAGCAATAAGCCGGGATGCTTCTAAATTAATGTTGGTTTTTTACGATCGGTAAATAATTCCCTATACTCTGCACATTTTTATTGGCATTAGTTCTGCTCATTTAACGAAAACAATGACTGGTAAAATGCATCATTTCATTTTAAGCGATTTGCTCTTTAATTAGAATAGATATGATCTGTGTGCACAGGCAGAGGAAGACTGTGATCTAACTGGACTTGCTTTTGTTGGAGGCGCATGTTCCAAAGCCGAGCAATGTGGTATTAATGAGGATGGCGGTTTGGTATTGAGTGTGATTGTTGCTCATGAAATTGGCCATTTGTAAGTCAAACTTAGAAAGTTTAAAGTTTCTTTCTGACTTAGCTGACTATAGACGATATAAAAATATCCTCACATGATACGCACTTCTATCAGTAGATTATACTATATATTACATTTAATGTTTCTGATTCGGACATGAGGAGCTTTAGTATGTGAAGCTGCAGAAGCTCAATTTTATTTAAGGAACAAATAAATGATAAATTTACCTTACATTTACAAATTCTGATAAATACTTCAGAATGGGTGCTGAACATGATGAACAGTCTACACCTTGTCCAGTTCAAGACACCGATGGATCTTATTTTGTTATGTCTCCCATAGTTAGCACTTACACGATTAGATGGTCCTCATGTAGCAGAAGTTTAATAAATACTTTAATCCAGTAAGTATGTCCAAATTGGTTCAAGTAAGGAAGTATGAGGAATTTAAAATTTGATATTTTTCCGCAGATATTATTTTTGCATCTGGATTAATTGATAATGAATGAATTAATAAAATTGCATCTTATTTTATGATTCTATGTAATATTTTTTTTACGACCCTTCCTTTATTTGAATTTTTTCATTAATTATACATGCTCCATTGCCATAATGTGAAATATTCATATATTTGTGTGTTGCAAAACGAGTGAAAATCTTGAAATGTTTAAGTTAACGTCGAATATCTGAAAAATGATTGGAAATAAGTCCGAGCGTTTATTTCCGAATTGAATAAAGTAAATTTCTCAATGCCGTAAAATGTTTGGATCAAATTTTATGGCTTTTTCCAAATATACTAAACTACTACGTATATATCCACTTTCAGAAACAACTTGGCACAATGCTTAAGTGATATTCCAGAATCTACTTTGTACCCATTTACGGAAAATATGCCGGGGGTAGTGTACGATGCGAATGAGCAATGCAAATTTATGCTACCTGCCAGTTTAGGGGTTTGTTCCGCAGTTAAGGAGAAAATTTGCGAGAATCTAATTTGCAAAGTAAACAAAAAGGAATGTATTGGCAAAAATGATGTCGCTGCTGATGGCACAAAATGCGCAGAAAACAAGGTAATCTAATTATGGAATGGTTGTCTTAATGACCCTGACTTCCATAAAAAATATGAATGCTTTGCACAGATTTTCATATTTTAAGAAGGTACACATACAAGAGATTTGAAAAGTGGATTACATTATTCGACAACGGCGGAAAATTTTCATCTAAATTGATCTGCTCAACAGGCTTATAAACTTTTTTAGATATATTTTTTTACAATGTGTTTATTTAAATGTTAGGTCCAACGGTTACTTCTTTTGTTGGACGTCTTTGTATTATTCGAAGTCGTAAAAGGTAAAACTATATCCCTATTTGCATTCAGAGTAGTCCCGCACAGCAGCAATCAAATATTTACTTTACGACCTAACTGAAGGTGCTAAAGATTAATTTTTCAGGCGAAGAGAAAGTCTTTTGTGCCCCTGCTAACACTCGCCAAAGTATTACTTAACAAAAATTTTCATAACATTTTTGCTCGTATAGTGGTGTTTTAAGAAGAAGTGCATCGAAATGGGTGCCAGACCGGAAGCAGTGAATGGAGGTTGGGGCGACTTTGGTGCCTGGTCTGAGTGCACGAGAAGTTGTGGAGGCGGAATCTCTTCTTCTGAAAGAGAGTGCAATAATCCAGTACCATCAAATAGAGGACGATTTTGTATTGGTGAAAGACGGAAGTTGAAAATTTGCAATCCTGGGGTATGCCGGATTAAATTGAGCTTCACATATGCTATGCATCAATTAATATTTTTTCAAAAAGACCTATTCCCTTTTTCCCATGAACGATTTTCCCCGACGTGTTGAATAAACGGTTCAAAATGGGCTCTGGATAGTTTTTACTCAACATGCTTTTGTAGCCTTGCCCAGAAAACGCTCCAACCTTTCGTCAGCAACAATGTACAGAACAAAACTCAAAACCCTGGAATGAAGCGTACCATTCCTGGACAGCAAGTTTTCAAGAAAGTAAGTCTTTTCCTTGAATTTGAAACTCAATTCTTTGGCTGGATAAAATCGTCTCAACGACTACTGAAATATCGAAGAAGCTGCTGTACCGATTAGTACATTCCATTTATCTTTTGTTAAAAATAGGGCCGTAGAGCTTTTCCAAGTTTTCATAAGTCATTCACAGGCAGTTTCTAATATTTCGCGAAGCATAAAACCGAAACATTTCAAAGCACTTCTCCAATTCCTTTCCTTCACATTTTCTCCACGGTGTTGAGAAATTACTTTCGGACTTACGCCGTTTCGAAAGTTGCTGGAAATATTGCTTACGGCCGCATCGCCCACATTTAAAATGAAGTTTTAATTGCTGCAATCAAAAATTCACAAACCGGAAAATTTTTATGTAAGTCACGTTTGATGGTCGACCGTTTCTTGGCAAATTGCTCCCGAGATTCTCGAGGAAAAACTTGCCTAACACGCCGCAAATTGGTTAATTTCTTTGGGAAAAAGTTTCGGATTATGGACTGGAAATGTTTCAAAGCCAGAGAAGTTCGTGAAATTTGTTTTCTAGTTTATTGCAGCGCAGAATAGTGGGAAATGGTCGTCAATAATGTGGCAATGGGACTCACCAGGGGAACAATTGCGGCTGAAGTAAAACGCCTTTTATGTAATACATTTTTATTTACGTGACACATTTATCGCATTTTTGGTTAATGCAGAGCTTCTCATTTAAGTATTTTTTGTTATGATAATACAAAACATCGTTTTATTGATTGGACAATAGTTTGACCGGATTTGTAGAAAGTTCTCATCCTTATTTCCTGTTTAAATTTTGACTAAATAAGTACATATTTAAGTAAATTTATAGACTTCTTAAGAGGCATTTAATTAACATTGAAATTTACATGTGAAGCCAGCATAGAAAATTTGTGATCTTCCTTAAATGCCTTCCTTTATTAAAGTATCCATAAATTCAGCAGCCAAGGAATTTCAGATAATTTAAATAAGGTTTAATTGTAACTGTAGCAGCCACTACTCTCCATTTTAAGCAAATGATTCTCATAAAGACCACAGTTAGTATTGTAGAAACGCAAATCAGACTCTCGCATTATGGCTTTTTTCTTTCATTAAAATTTGCATACACGAGATTTTACGCAATTATCGATCGTTTAATTAAGTTCTATACTTAAGTTTAATGGGCAATTATCTTATGGGCGTCTTGTATTTGCCTCATTTGCCCCCATTAGTTCGATGAATTTCAAATCTGATTAATGAGAACATTGCTAAAGCTGGTCGGTTACTTGGTAGTTTTGCTTTTTATATTTTTCCAATAAAAATCTGAGATTTTTCTGAATGTTTGACCCAAACTACTGATTGAGAGTTTGAAGTTTTCTTTGTCGTTGTTTGTGAGATTTCAGTGTTTGCTCCTAGGAACAGGCGGTTTATTATTCGTTTGCGATATACTCATAATAGTTTCAAAATAATACATTTTTTATTCATTTTTAAACTCCGATATACCTAATAATATAATGTACTGGCTTATAGAAGAACCATGCGCTTTATACTGTGTAAGCGAAGAACATGTTTTAAGCAAGCTGGAAGCTGCAGCTAAGGATGGAACCCCTTGCAAACATGGTACTAGAAACATGTGCATATCTGGCGTATGCCGTGTAAGTTTCAACATGATTTGATTAATTTTCATTAAGAAGTTAAATCACTAAGCCAGCAAGTAGCAAACATTTATTCGAGCATGTAAAAATTAGTGAAAGAATTATATTCGACAAATAGGTAGTCGGATGCGACAATGTATTAGAATCGGAATCGGTTGAAGATCGCTGCGGAGTCTGCAATGGAGATGGCACGCAGTGTAAAATCGTAGAGGAAACTTACAAAGATGTTGGCCAAGGTTTGTCCAAACCTGCAGAACAAGATAATTTTTTTGCACATTTCTCACCATTGAGTTTTCATTTTAGGTTACACAAAAGTTGTGGTAATTCCTGCCGGTGCTAGAAAAATTGTAATAGAAGAAAATGGCCCGTCTGGTAATATAATTGCTATTACTGACAGCAGCGAAAAGAAGTTCTATCTGAACGGAGACGAGTATGCATTTGCGGCTTCCGATGTTGTATTTCGTAATCACATCTTTTACTTCAGCACAGAAGCCCTCGACGGAGAATGCAACATTGGTACATCAGTTGGAATATATAGGCACGTTGAACCTAAAAAAGAAACACTTATCATTAACGGACCTCTTAAGGAAGACGTAGTCCTTTTTGTAACAGTTAACGCTCTAAAGGGTCAATTAAACATTAAAAAGGTTCTTTGCAGGTCGATTTCTTTGAACAGAATAATCCGGGTTATGTTTATAAATGGGCTGAGCAGTCTGTTGATTCCACTTATGAGCCCCGCTATCACTGGGAAATAGGTATTTCACTAAAATTGAACTGATGTAAAAGACTTAACGGTAATTGAAAAATACAGGGGAATTTGAGGAATGTTCGGTTGCCTGTGGAGGCGGCTCCCAATCAGCAAAAATCGATTGTATCGAGGAAAAGGCAGGCAAAGTTAGCATGAATTTCTGTGCCGGTTTAGATCGGCCTAAGGAGCAAGCGAAGAATTGTAATGAGCAACCTTGCAAAAGGACGTAAGTTGAACGAATTTTTCTGTCGTCTCATTATTTTACTTAGTACAAAATCACTGTACGGTCATAAGCAGTAAAAATTGGATTTAAAAAATTCGTTGAGGAAGAAGCAATGTATACGATAATTAAATTTAGATGGAAAGTTGGTCCTTGGAGCCAATGTCGAGCATGTGAAAATAAAGGAGGTGTCAGATCAAGACATGTGGAATGTCTTGAGGATAATCCCAAGAAGGGTGCTGAAGGAATTTTGCTGGAAGATGATCAATGTGAAGGTAAACGTGCATCAGAGTTGTTAGACGGTTCCGCAATATGAGTTCAATAACATCATTCAGGTCCAAAACCTGGTTCAGTTGAGCTTTGTGAAGCTGAAGAAAAATGTGGTCACAAACGAATGATTTCGCCTTATATTCCCGGAAAGTATCAGGGTCAGATATGGGAGCAAATGAACCGAAAATATCTCGCAAAAAGAAATTCCGTAAGATTTGTTAGAAAAGCAACGAAAAACTGTTTAAAGGAAGTGATTTTCGTAAATTTTACCAGTATTACAACCATTATTCAAAACGACTTGATTACGAAATTTACTTTTTTATTTATAGTACTTTTATTCATTTTTATTTTCATTAAAAGGTTTGACCGAAAAAACATTGCCTTAGATATGAAGTAGGGTTATCCAATATTGCCAAATTTGTATGGCCAATAAATAGGCCACAAAAATTACCAAATCTTTTGTTTGTAATCTATTAGACTTTTTCTTGGTTTCTTTATTTCTTTCTCATTAGCCGTTTTTAAATGTGCGTAGCCTGATTGGAAAGTTTTATCTGAGTTCAACGCCACTGCTCTTTATGAAGCAAATTATTACAGAATGAGAATTTTTCATGTGGCACATTTAAAAAAACACCTATGGGTTTTCCAATAGATTTTAAACTAGTTGGTGAAATTTATCGAAATTATTTCCTTCACACTCTCGATTTATCATTATCACAGGTTTGCTGTTTTCACAATATACTAGACTTTTTTATTAGCACTATAACTGTTAGTCTGGATAAATCAAATTTGTTTACATTTTTAGGCTGAAACAATCGAACACCTTAATCCAGAATCAAGTAATCGCTCTTCCTCCAAAAGCTCTCAGGAGAGTTCATTGAAGGGCAACCTTGGTAAATAACTTTTAATGTTAGGTGCATCCTATGCAGCACAAATCTGACGCTTATTTTAAAACGCAATTTTTCTGGCATATATTTTCCTACTACTTTCCTAGCTGTGCTAATAATTCGTTTATTTTTAAATCAAATTTTATATCCTCCTTTTATTCTGCATACCAAGAACCATCTTGAGACCTTAAATGAATATATGAGAGAAGTGCTTAGATTCCAGAAAAATGTTTTAGGATCAGTATACATGTTAATCACATTTAACGTAACTCCTTAGTATTTGAGGATATATTGAGGAACAGCTAATAAAGTTCAGTAATTTGTTCTGTTGTTTGTACGTATCGTTTTGTCGGCCATGAGTATATGTCCGTAGTCCAAGAGGGGTCTGCAGATCACTTTGTATATTTTTGTCGCGGTATTGGTACTGATACCTTTGTCTTTGTATGTTGATTCATTATTATTCCATTTTACCAAATTGCTTTTCAAATAAAGTTTCTGCTTCAATTCATGAGCGCAATAAAAGGAAAAGTTTAATTTATTAAACAAAATCTAAATTAACTGAAAGTTTTACACGTGAATCAACAACTTTACCGTCGAATTTGCCTAGTTTAATATCGCACTGAAATTGCAGCTTATTTCCAAATTGTATATGTGAATTTTGTGCAATATGTAAATACGTTTTGAAATTAAGTTTCGACTTCGTATTATTTTGTTTCTTTGAGTAACGTTAAGGCTTCAGATATATTTTGCTTGTAACCTTAGGCAAAATGGCACACGATTTTCGCCCGTTGGATGAACAAATTATCATGAAGTATACAATCCAACCAAATCCCATGAAAGCGAACTTGTCTGATAAAGCCGATGCCCTAATGGGAGATGCTTTGTCTGATGTAATTGATACGGAGCACAAAATGGTTTTCAAAGGTAAAAAAAATCATCAAAAATAATGTTTTACCGAACAAATTCAAATTTTTTTGCTGCGTGTGTACTGTTTCTTGCTTGATTTTTCAAAATTCCCAATACATATTTTTTTAAACTGTGCGTTATTATGCAGTTTACTGTTGCAAATTTATTTACTAGGATGATAAAAGTAGTTTGTATAAAATTTAGGGAAAGTGGCGGCAAAAATGAAACATCAGTTAGAACATTACACAAATGCAACGTTAGAATTCAATTGCCACAAGAAGAAATGCATAAAAACTAAATCACTGAAAGTTAAAAAGAATCGAAGGAAGCCCGAAAGGGAAGATGAAGAAGATGATGTCTCTGATTCTGGCGAGGAAGAAGATTGATAATATTCTGAAACATTCATCTATTATTTATCAGCTATACGTTTTACTTGTTATATTTTACTTTATATTACTGTAATTACTAAATATGTAATATAGTAATTAAATAATTTTGAGTTTAGTTTTTTTTAAACATTTTCAATATCTAAACCTATTGTAATTTATACGATTGATTGACTAACATTATCTTTTTATTTCAGTCTTCGATATTCCTCATAAGCGCTGATTTTCATGTAAGTTTTTATATTTTTTTATAGTAATTGTTAATTTGATGCAAGTATTTGTAATACAACCGACGTGTTTGCACAATAATCAATTTGAGCTAACCCACCAGTTAAAATTAAAAGATCTTTGTTCTGCCCAGTCAGAATAAAATACTCAACGAATACCGACAGCCAGCAGCTGGCAATTGGGTATTTGAACTAAACTATTCTATAAATTCTTGCTAAGTAGAGAGAAAATTAATTACTCCATTTTATAGCTGAGCCAATGGGAATTAAGTATGCTCGATTGCGAGATTAGCAAGTTTTATATTATCTCTAAGTGTAGTAATTTCACATTAAAGCTGAAGTTAAGACGGTAACTTTCAACTGAATGTTTTTGGGACCGGTTTTTATATGGATTAACTTTGAAAAATGTAACACTTAAGCGGCAAATAATTTAATAGATAGTGATGAGTACATTGTCATACACGGTTGTAATTGTGTTTAAAAATTAAATTGTGTTAAAACAAAATGGAACTTGGTAAACACAAAACCCGAATATAAAGCAAATTTATAATTAACTAACTTGTGGATTCATTAAGAATGTATATTTTAATACAAAAACTGCTTTTGATTAACAAAATAACGTGTGAAACGTTGTCGTTGGTGTACTTTAATTAAATTCATGTAACATAAACCACTATTGAAAAATGGGATTGAGGTGCAGTGAAACAGATCCAATTCCATTACGGCTGTGTCTACTTTTAACCGCTCGTTAGTGTATCAACAAAATTCAAAGCTGGTCCAATTGAATATTCGCTTATTCCCATTTTTTGCTTGCTCTATGGTTTTTTTCATCTCTTTTCGACTAGTTAATTCATTTTGGTAATTAATGTCCAGTTTAGATCGAAGCTACCCGGTTTTCGTTTATCGCTCAATCATCCTCATTCGCTCATTCATTATGAACGAAGTGTTTTGCAACCGCACGAAATACGACCATATTTTCGTCAAACGAATATAAATATGAATTTCAACAAGCCCTCAAACTGAAAAGATCTTTTAACGGGGAAACTTTCCTTTGCCAAAGAAATTACTGTCCATTCGCAACTGACCTGACCCTTAAGCTCGATCTCCTTGAAATCCAAGAGTGTCCCCCAATTAAGGTGTCCAGCTAAATTAATGGGACATCTGAACGGAGTCTAGGATTCACTTTAAGTTCAGTCCTTGAGCGGATCTAAACGAATTCCGTATAATTTAAGCTGCTGCTTGCGGATATTGAAGGAGAAGCTTTAGCAATTTTGAAACTCTTTGTTCAGCGGATGATTTGGAACATATATTTTTTGTATAATACAAGGACTTCTCTGATATTAGTTTTCTCATACGCATTGTTTCCAAACTGACGGTCATTGAGTTAGATTAAATGGCTAGAAGGTTTTTAACATAAATCGTGCACGATCTTAAATCCCTTAGATGTTTTTGTCTTCTAATGAGCTTCCAAAGCGCAACATGAGTTTGTTTGAAATATTGTGATTTCCCTTATTAATGTATATGCTTTCCTGACTGTGTTTCAAGTGTCTAATCGCATTATATTATTTTATTTTATTCTGGTTTTCTTCGCCTGCAGCTTTAAGCTTTAATTTGCGTTGGCAGTTGCAAAGTTGGCAAGCCGATACGTAATACCTAACATCTTACTTTAAATAAACTCGTTCCTGAGTAGAGAGCATCTTATCAAAGGAGTGCTTTGCTGATCGAGTGCATCTGCAAATTTGGTTCATAAATTACTTTCATGAAGGTGGAAAAACCTATGAGCGTGCTTATGTCGGAAAATGATCGCCTTTTATATCCCGTATCTGTTATCTACAAAATATATGACTGAGGGAGGAAAATTTCCTTTTAAACATAAAATACTGGATTCCGTATTTGCATTTAGGATTCTCTGATTTGTAGGTTTTGTGAGTTAAGGCATAATACTCGAACGGTGCTTAACTAAAGTAAATCAATGCAAATTAAATTATTTTTTTGTTACATTTCTTACAGACCTACTGAATTATGTACCAAATGATGATGGATTTTCGATTGCTTTTTAATTGCATTTATATTACGAATTCTTTTATATTCTTTTAACTGTTCCTATTCCAAACTTTTTGTATTTTTCATTACCTTTTCCAAGACATTCGTGCTTACTTAAGTATTTAAATCTAAGTGAGTAAAGCTTCAAATATTCTTTTAAATAAATAATAATAGAACATTGCGGAAGTTGGAAAAGCTGATGCAATGAATAATGCAATTCATTAAAACAAAACAAGGACAAATCGAGAATTTCACAAATGCCGAAAAACTATTTTATAGTATAATTTTCAATTTGTCCTTGTAATTTATTATGCAGTCATTTTTACAGCAACTGAAATATTAATCTGGCGCGCGTTCTTGAAATCGCATAATTATGAAGTAATATAAATCGGATTAACAGTTTGGACATGTGGGGTTTTGCATAATTTCTTGAAACCTTTCGGGGTTTTGCTCAAAACACTGCGCGGACTTGTGGTATTTTGGTTAGATGAGTAACTATATAAAATTTAATAATATAATTAATTTCGGTAAAAATCTGTTTAATTATGTTTTGTATATTTATATTTCCTAAAAGGTGTACTTATAAAAAACAGAAAGTTAAATTTTACAACAAAAAATGGGAAAAATTAGGTCTGCATAAGATGTGGAAGGCTACTCATCTTCTAAGCAGAAACATTCACCATTCTCACTCTTTTGTTCTTCCTCTGGAACAGTTCTTCCAGTACAATTTTTTTTTGTTTGGTACCGCCTCATTTGAGCTTTCAGGCACTTAAGATAATGCAATAACATTGTTTAAAAAGTCTTAACGTCTTAAACTTCTTAATTAAATAAGTAGAAGTACCTAACCTTGTAAATATTCCTTTACCCATATAAAAAAAGTGAGTTAAATATCTAAATATTTTATGGAAATTAAACATAAACACTAAATGTTTTCCATTTCCATTCGATTTGTTAAACGTTGACTTTTCATCTAAATTGTGTTGATTTTACTAATTCGCGTATTCATTTTCGCTTCGCTATTTTCCCTTAATAGAATTTTAGGAATAGCTAACTAAGACTACCAAATTACCGAGCATTTGATCAACTTGGCAAGTGCCGCTATGATATTTTAATTAAATCTTTCACGGCTATGTCCACAGTCGAGCCGAAAACCATCTATTGCTTTTAAATCTAACTTTAATGCTCATCCATCAAGATAAACAAAAGCTGTTTCTCTTTAACCAATGTTTTTATTTATTTAACATTTAGAGTCAAGATTAATTCAAGCAAACGAGCATTGTACACATCAAGGGTTTCTACATGTGTTAGTAAAGGCTTTAGAGCCCAACCGACTCGGATATTCCACTTATCAACATATTATTCCTTATAAACTTTATAAATTGAATTATATCGCGTTATTTGTTGCGGTTGACTTTTGCTAAATTTTACTTTGGTTGATTTAACCTACGGGATTGGACCCAGGCGAAGGAAAATTGTCCCTCTCGATTTTTTCTTTCCAATTGTCAGATTTTCAAATTAACAAGAATATTGTTGGGAAATACCTTTATTTAGCTGAAATTACAAATCTAATAATGGAAATATAATTTAATACAAAATAAATTCTAATTTTCCGAACGTTTGTTTTCAAGAAGTATTTAATGCATTTCCCATATTTTGCCAGTTTTAATATTAATAGTCCCGTTCCAAATTGCTCTTTCACACACTCTGTTAACCACAGTTAACCAATTAGCTAAAACCTAGCGAAAGCATTATTTGTGAACAATCGAAAAAGCTAAATTTAGCTGTTTTCTAACTGAACCAATTGCAGTTAATCCTCTTCACTCCATAGGGGTGTTCGAGAAGCGGCATTTAAATTGTTAAATTAAAAGGACATTTCATGCATGTCAATGTGGCAGCAAAAACAATAATTAAGGGTTGTTAATTATGCATGAACAAAAGGCGATAATAGGCTGATTTACATTCCTCGTTGTTTTATTCATATAGCTAACTAAATGCCTTACCGCACCACGTATAGATCAAAGATATTGCATTTTACAGTCATGAGCATAGAGAGGTACTGTTGGAAAAACTAACCAGTTTTTACTTCATTTTTCAAAGAGGTTATGCGCTCTGGTATTGTTAGCAGATATATTCAATTTTTTCTTGGACAGTCACAAAAATGAACCCTAACATTAGCGAGACTAAAGTTCATAATTTTCCATTGTTCAATATTTCCTCCTAAGCCATGGAATGCCTTTTCCTTCCAGCCTCAAAGGCTACAATAGCTTTTATTCTTTTCCTTTACAGTGGGAATATGTCTCGGTGTTCTTTTTACAGTTAGTCATGAGAGCTCTCTAAATATCGGCAAGCCAAATCGGAGAATTTTCTACTGTAATTAATTAGCCCTGATTACATGTTTCAGGTAACGCTATACTTTACTACTTTGGGAACACAATGGTCTTCAAGCATGCTTGAGACATTATTCTATCCAGCCACTAATCACCACATAAGAAATATGATTAACTTAAAAACACACTTAGTCATTTCGACGTGCATGTAATGTCGTAATTTTGATTTAGTAAAAGTTTCAACGATATCTGCTTAAAATATTACTTTTAGTGATAAGACATTGTGATGTTTAGCGTTTTAATGTTGTAAGCCGTTTAAATTGTTGAAAGCCAGAAAACTTACTTTTACATGGCTTTCTAAAATTCAATTTATATTTTCAAGAAGTTCAAATATTTCAATAGATCGGTTTCTCCTACAGTTAAATATATGTGTAACATTTAAATATCAGCACAATTTGCAGTAAATGAAATGCGAAAAACTTTGCAATACATGATATCGATTAAATGTTTT